GTGTGTGTGTGTGTGTGTGTGTGTGTGTGTGTGTGTGTGTGTGTGTGTGTGTGTGTGTGTGTGTGTGTGTGTTTGCTTACCTTTAGACATGACGTGAGAGTTCCTGTGGTAGGGCAGCGGGAACAGATGGACCTTCAGTTGTACGTTCTCTGGACCAAAGTGGTCTGCCACCTCCAGTAGGACCGGGTACGCCTGGTGGTGGGTGGAGGTGTTTTAGTTTAGTTTTAGTGAGTGTTTTACGGCACTTGCAACACTATAAGGTCATATGTGAGGCAGCGTTGTGAAGTCTGGCGGTTGTCAAAATAATGAAAATGTCAAGAAACTAGCATTTTTCTGCAGTTTTGGGAATTTCTATCAAATGTTTGTTTTTTGGCTGAACGCCTTTTAAAACATATTTGTTGTGGATTTTACTAAAAGAAAAAGAAACATTCAGTTTCCAAAAACCCTCAAGCTTTAGTAATCACCAAACTTTGACGGGCATTATCTTGTTAGTTTTATTTCTTAAACCAGGCGACCCCTTGTTGAAGGTGTAGTTGTAGTTGTAGGTGTAGTTGTAGGTGTAGGTGCTGTAATAATAATAATAACTGACATTTCTATAGCGCTCAACCCCGATCAAAGTACACAGGCTCTGAGCGATTTGCAATACTGCACAACATACAACAGTAACATAAAACGTTGTGTTCTGACTGTTCACTACAAATATTTGTCTTATTAATTTTTAAAACAAAGCATTCCAGATCTTGGGGCCTTGGTATTCAAATGCCCTTTCACCCATTGTTTTATGTTTCATAGATGGCAAAATCGTCTCAGATGAAGGCTCAAGACCAGAAAGTCTCTCCAGAATCGCGCAAACAACAGCTGCGCTGTCAAAACTGAAGCCTATTTGGAGGGACAGAAACATCACGCACAACTAAAAAAATTAGACTAATGCGCTCACTGGTCATCTCAATATTTTTATACACCTGCGAGTCGTGGACACTAACAGTAGAATTAGAGAAACAGATTCAGACCACAGAGATGAGATGTTACCGCAGACTCCTTGACATCTCGTACAAAGACCACGTTTCAAATGCTGACCACAGTGAAGAGACGAAAACTAAAATGGTATGGGCATGTCACAAGATCCACAGAACTTGCCAAAACCTTAGACTGCGAGTTGGAATATACACTCTTAATTTTTACTTTACTTTTACTTTTTCATCCTCTGTTGCCGTTAAGCGTCGATGGGAGATGCAGTTTTCTATGGTCAGCTACGCAGCTCTTTCAGTTGTGATGTTATGTTTTCTTAGGGTTTCCTTGACACCCTCGATCCACCTTTTGCGTGGCCTTCCTCTTCCTTGGTGTTGTAGGCTCTCGAGGCTGGCTGGTCAGGTGACATGCGTAACAGGTGGCCAAACCATTTTATCCTCTGTCTTTTTATGTAACGCAGGTAGGACTCAGTGCCGATAGCTGCTCTAACTTCTTCATTTCTCTGCCTGTCTTGTCTTGTGACGTTACGGGTTTTGTGGAGACATTCCATTTCGCAGACGGTGATTTTGCTTTCGTGGGTTTTGCTTAAGGTCCAGGTCTGGCACTGATAACATAATGTTGGTATGAATATTGAGGTGATAAGCTGTCTTTTTGAGTCCTGGGAGATGTTTGGATGGGATAGAAGGGGTGCGAGTTGGTAGGTGACAGCGTTGGCTTTTTGAGTTTGCATTTCTATTTCTCTGTCTATGGTCCCGTTTTCAGAAAAGGTGCAGCCAAGATATTTAAACTCCTTCACGTGTTTCAGTTTTTTACTATTGACATTGATGTTCAGGGGACTATGGTTTCGGCTCACTTTCATAACTTCTGTTTTTGATGTGCTTATTTTCATGTTGAATTTTTCACAGGTGCTGTTTAGTTCGGTAGTGTGATTTTGGAGGCTTTGTTGGCCATGATGAATAAGACATTGGTCGTCTGCGAACAGAAATTCATTTAGGCTTTCTTGGATTTGGTTTGCGTCTTGCGTTATTGTGTCCATATATATTATAAACAGGAGGGGAGATAGAACGCATCCCTGTCGTACTCCAGATCTTACTTTGAACCAGTCTGTATTGCC